TCTTCCTGACATGTTTGGGTGCAGTTCCCTAGAGTAGATGACTGTTTCACTGACCACCGGTCAAACCCTGTTCTTGGCGAACAATCCTCAGTTCACTCAGCCACCTGGTCAAGCACTCGGGGTGCGCATGAAAACTCGAGTTCCAACTCACATCAGTGGATCCCAACTACGGACCCGTCCATAGTTTGAGCCCCGGGGAAGACATGAGTAAACTGGAATGCTGTTACTCGAGGGAGGATATGTCTTGAATGACACAATACCTTTGAACTGATTCGTTTTGTCCCGGTTATTTTTCCGACACATGGTTTGCGTTGATACCACTGTCACAATGCACCTGTTCGGTTGTCGGCACCAATACCTGTCCCCAAATTCAGTGAAGTTGCGCGTTGTAGATGAAATTTTCTGAAACGGAAGAATCACAACTAGAGAAAATGTTGAAGCCGTCCCGGTCTATGATCACCGAATGAGGCGGGCTGAGTGGCTTTCTGAGCCCCCCCCCCTCTCTTCTACCCGGGAAGCAACCCACACCCGTAGACCTCGTTTGGCACAACAGTATTTGTGTATCTGTTAGCTTGAACAATTTAATCGTGGTAAGCAATTTCATTTATTTTCCAATGTGAACCACCACAGACGAAGGCTAGAATCAAGAAATTATCACCGTGCAATCGCCAGGATTAATTCTAATGAACTAAGAGATGCAAATAACTGAGCCGTTGTTGTCGAATTGATTTGTCTGTTACTGCAGCTAACATTAGCGATCGGTGCTACACCGTTCCTGAAACAACCTGCAACATAATCGGACGGGCTTTGTACAACAGGGAGCATAAATTCGACTGTTGGACGAATTAGGTGTTACAGAACACAATGGGTAACAAGAAGTTAACAGCTGTTTCATCAGATACGAACGTCACCCTAATTACCGACAGCAAGATGGCAGTAAAAATAAGAAATCTAACTGATTTGAAGAAAATAGCGAATTTCAGAACTGGAACACTTTTTTTATTACACACCCACGTGTGACGAGTGGCAGACGGAGCGAACCCCATAGTCACGAGGACCTGCTGTTCAGTGGTGGAAACCGGCAACCTAAGCCCCGAAACCTAGAGTGGCGAACCACATTATGCCTCGATAGGTTAGGCGTGGTATTGAACCGGACGACAGCAGAGCTGCCTACCACCGAAGTTGGGTGGCGGTGCCGGGGCTAGGATCTCGGACCATAGAATCCAAAGCACGCCGGTGACAGCGACTGAACCACTGCGCTACCACCACTGAAGGTACCTAGGAATTTTCAGATGAGGCTCTAATAGGACAGACATCGAATTACGGCGGACGATAACGAAGCTTCCTATCACCAAAATTAGGTAGAGGTGCAAGGGTTCGAAGCCTAATCTTCCCATAAGAACTCTCACGAAATGAATAAGAAATGGATTGGGATCAGTCGCAACCGTATCGGCAGTTTCTCGATGCTACTGAATACGTGGGCGTCAGGATAGAGTACAGAATACGATTACCTGATTTCTGGAAATTCCTCCATCGCCGCCCACGTAATCCTCACTCCGGACAAATGTCTAGACAGTGAGCAACCCCACAAGTACCACACGTTTTCGCTGGCCATACCAATAAAGAGTCGCACCGTTTTTCAACTCTTTTTTAACTGGAACCGTTGCGATTCGCGTCGTAAGATCAGGTTCTGTGATAGTTTGGCGAGACACAACAGCAGGGTAACCGACAGTTTCGCAATTGAGGAAGCAGTGTGAGCTTCCTGGTCTCAGTTACATCCCTCCACCCTCCGATCTTCTTGTTAGGATGTTTGTACTTTAAACTGACTAACGAACCTCTGGACAGTATCCGGAACCGTATGACTGATCGTTTAAAATCCTCAAAGGTTGAATGCTTAGCAGAGCCGAGTCTTGGGCATTAAAATACTGGACAGTGGTTCGTTTTGATTGCAGACTACTATCGTTACTACCGTATATCAGATGAAACAGTTTATAAAAAAAACTTATGTGTATACTGTGTTATTGGTATGTATTGCGACGACTAGTCAGTAGGTAGTGATTGAAGATTAGCACAAAAGTCATATAAAATCTGGGTGTAGGCACAATCGGATGTGCTAGCACAAAAGACCGGGTATATATGACTGATGTAAAATGCTCTGGGAAGCCTGGAATGAGGGGCGGGACGGGGACCGGGTAACAGAAAGAGTGAGAAAAACGGAAGCCCTGTGCATAAGATAAATACAAAAAAGAGAAGCATTGCAACATTTCGGAGGGGGCTCCAATGGACTGATTAGTTTGCGGCAACAATTGTCGGTTTCTCCTGATCCCCAGATCCTGTGACCGGGTCAACCTGAAGGGATTTGAGCGCCTCAGTCAGTTTGGATTCATCGCAATCCTTTGGCTTCGACTGATCGTCTTTGTTCTTCAAGCCGTCAGATGTTTCGCCTGAAATAGTCCCAAAAACGGTTGAGGATACCATGAATGTAAATGCAAGTGCTGGATTTTGAAGTAAACTCGACTGTAAGTCAGTCAACATGTTTGTACAGTGAAAAAAAGAAATAAGTGAGTTGAACGTTCCTGGTTCCTGTTAGCTAAATGATAAAAAGGAAAATGAAATTCTCGAAGGGGATAGATCCACCAGAAAGAGATGAAGGGGGTGGATAATACCATGGGCACTCCCACCCTGCAGTCCTATTTGAAGGAACGTCTCGAAAAAGAGTACTTCAAGGGAAATGTTCACTGGATCAGCATGTTTTCTTCTAAAACACATTCTCTCGAATTTCTAACAATAAGTAAATTTTTGATATCCTGTTCACATAGTTTTCATCTACCAGAAACACGGATGCCGGACAGCACCAAGTCTGCAACAAATCACTAGCCGCATAACCACTAAACATGTTTCCTCATATATCATATTAGCCTACGGAAACCTGAATACGGTTGGGGGTGGGTGTCTAAGGTTGCGGCTGGTTACTCTTCCCTTGTACCTAGCGAAATGCTCCCATACGACCAAGCCTCTACTGAAGAAGCCTTACTAACTGCCTTCTCGTGGCGGTTTATTCCCATCAAAATGAGAGGACGAAAAGCCGACATCCGAGGCTATAACCGGGTTGGTAGACCACTGGTAGTTCACCTGGGGGTGTTGGCCAAAAACCCTGATTCCAAATCAACCAAGAGGAGGCGT